AAAATACAATTTCAAATCAGGTAAACCCAATCCTCCTCTTTCCTTTGTATCTTGTAATACCTTATATTTAACTTGTGGTTTTCTCCCCCGCCACACAAATTGAGATATATCCTTCTGTCACTGTTTAAATGTGCAACAGTTATCAAAACAGGTATTGTCTGAAACAAAAACATCATTCTAGGCAAGATATTAATTTTTATTACAGAAATTCTCCCCAGCAATGACAGTTGTAGTTTCTCCCACCTTAACGTATCTTTTTAAAACTTCATTCCATGTCTTAACATAGTTATTTTGAAATATCATACAGTTCATATTTGTCAGTGATACCGAGATATTTTACATTCTTCTCAGTCTTAAAACCTGTTTTATTCATCAATTCTGTTTGATCTTCTATTTTCATATTTTTTGTTAACATCTTCATCTTTTGTTTATTAATCTTGAAACTTGCTAATGCACCAAATTCTTTAAATTGGCCATTTATGTTTCAATTCCCTTGAAAGGATCTTCCAAAACCAATACCAAGTCATATGCAAAAGCCCTTAACTTAAATTTCTTCTTTAGTCTTTACTCCCACAATCCTCTCATCTTGTCTTATATCTCTATTCAGTATTTCAACAGCCAAAATAAACAAGAGAGGAGACAGTCTTGTCTTGTTCGTTTCTGTATCTCACAGGGTTTTGTTAGATCTCCATCAACAATTATTTGTGCTTTCTGTGAAGTGTAAATCGATCGGACCCATTTTATAAAGTTCTCTCCAAAATTCTTATCTTCCAAAACCTTGAAGAAGAAAGTCAGTTTAAATTGTCAAAGGCCTTCTCTCCATTTAAGAAAATCAATGTGGTTTGTTTTTCATTATGTTGCTCCAAATATTCCAAAATGTCCACACATTTCTAATATTGTCCTTTAAGTGTCTTTTAGATAAAAACCCACATTGATCCTCATGAATAAAATCTTGCACTCCTGCTTCCAAGTCTCAATCCCCATATGCTATGATAATTACCAGATGGGCCTGTAGATTCAGAATCTATCACCCATCAAGGTTTAGGTCCTTGGAGTTTCACATTAAGCAAGACAAGCTACCAGGCTTAGTTGAATCTATGCCACATGTAGCCTTCCCTTTTTAGGACAATACTGGTATGTTTTGGCACATTTTGGCCTGTATGACACAAGCACACAGTATTCCTTGCAAGCTAGGATCCCTCATTTAGAGCCTACTTTGCACCCTAACATACCGTGGCTCCCATTCTACAATTATGAGTTATATGCAGGGAGTGTTTTAAAAAGTTCTGCAGAATTTTGTTGTTTAAAAGACTGATTTATCTTATATATACCAGGGGTGTCTGAAGGATAGGATCAAAAAAGTCAAGATGGTGGCCACAACAGTATGATTGAAGCTCTAGCTATTTTTTATGTGTGTCACAAACACCCCTGCATATAGCCTTTCAAGCACGGGAGCCATGAAACGATTTTGCTTGACAGCAGGCTGCCAAGAAAATAATAGAAAAATCATTTTAAAAACTTTGTTAATTCTGCAAGATTTTGGCATCCATGTTCAGTCGTGGGACTGTCTCCATGGGTTTCTGCTGTTCCATCATATTCAACAGGGTGAACACGCTCCAGGTCCCCAGTAATAAACAGTGTCATCATATGGGACTGAGGAAGCATGCCTCCTCTGCCATGGCACCTGCCCTATGGAACAGCCTCCTCCTGAGATTCAGAGGGCTCAAACCCTCTTGGCTTTCTACAAGGCCAAGCATTAGTACTGGGATATTAGCGGAGCCCCATATTTCTATGTGCATTTTAGAATTTGTTATATAGCGCTTCCGTTTTTCTTTGTATTGGATTATGGGGTTCTTTTTGCCTTTTTTGGGGAAGGGATAAATTGATTGTTGAGAGCCAACAGTAAAATCACTTCCAAAAATCTTGCCAAGAAAACTGCAGGGACTAGTTCAGGCAGTTGCCAAGAGTTAAAGACTGACTCAAAGGCACCAAAAAAAAAAAAGATTCTTAGCTGTATTGAAGACGGAAGGCCGTATAAAATTTCTAAATAAATACATTCTCACAAAGTTTCAGGTAACCTCAGGTGCAGTAGGTAGAGAAGACTGTGCTTAAGTAATTTGGTCCCAAATATAATTCTCTCTAGAAGTAATATGATCAACGCTGTCAGTGCTCAGACTGTAGCAGCAGCTCACGTGAAAGATGAATTCAGTTTTGTCTAACTTTATTTCTTGCTGATGATGGGCAAGCATAAAAGACCTTTCAGTGTGGTGTTCAAAATGCATTTACTTAGAAAAATTATATGGTACCTTTCTCTCTGGAAAAAAACACTTAGTGGAGTTGCAGATAAAAACTCATTTTTTTTTTTTTGTTGGAGGCACTTCAAGTCAGCATTGACTCCTGGCGACTGCCTGGACTTAAAAATACTTAAAATAAAAATAGAATATATCAAAATATGTTTTATAATGATATATGTAAATTGAAATATATATAAAATCATGCCCTCCTAGTTTCTCTTTTACAGGAAAAGGGAGTGCCAGCAAGATACAAACTTAAGGGAATCGACACCCAAAATGCCCAGTCCTGCATACAAGATAGATGAACTTCTGATCTGACAGCATCATGAGAAGGACCTCCTTTGGTATCCTAATGGCCAGACAGGTTCATGAAACAAGAAGTGACCCCTTAGATCAGTAATTCTCAACCTTGGCAACTTTAAGATGTGAGGACTTCAACTCCCAGAATTCTCCTTTCTTGCTGGCTGGAGAATTCTGGGAGTTGAACTCCACACATCTTAAAGTTGTCAAGGTTGAGAAACAGTCTTAGATAGTCAGGCCCTAAATTGTACAATATGGCGACCTCACTAGATTTTAGCCTTTTTTTTTTTTTTGGTCTCATGGGTGCCATTTGGGAGGATTGTGGGCAAGATGGTACTTATGGATGCTGTTTTGCCAACTTCTGCCATAGAAACTAAGCTATCTTGGATGGCCACTCCAGTGTTCAGTGTATTGACAAATGAGACAACCTGTACTACAGGTCTGGGGACGTAGTATGGCGATGACTGGATGCTGATTTCCATATTCTCTGAGTGGGCAACAGCCAGGAGCACTGACTGGCTCACGGTCTTCTTGGCAGTGGTGAGGACAATTGCAAGTTAATTTGAAAATGAGGCTTTGATGGCTGTGCAGAAAAGTGTAGATATGACACAAAGAATACTTAAATTGTATGCAATTCCTGGACTCTTTATTGCTGTAATAACTACATTTTTGAAAGGTGTTCAACATGTGCTATTTCTGTGGTTAAAAAAAGAAAATCTTTTTAAGAATACCGCTTGACTGTCTGAAAATGTTTGAATGATCAAGTGCGTCCTAAGGACTTGGCTGGTGAAGCAGAGAAAATCATCGGAACGCCCAGCTAGCTGCTTAGCCCAATGCCAACTTCCCTTTACGCAAATCAGTTTCTGTGAAACCCCTGGCAGGCAGCCAACAAAATGCAAAACCCCGCGTCACCTGGGTGCCTTGTTCAAGGTTGTGACTCTGAACTTCATCATCAGCACGGTTCAAAAACTTGGACCCAGGTCAAACGTAAGCTGGGAATGATTCTAAGACAAAATTGGCAAAGGCCAGGAATTACTCTCTTCTTAATGCTTTGATTAGTGAAAACATAACTATGTCATATTTATTATATGGGTTTATAAGTATGACTGTTAGTTTGACCCACTCACTGGGATCCCAGTTGGGAAAGGCTGATTAAACCAGCATGCCCCAGTATGGCTTCAATTTCCATGCGGCAAAGCAGAAAAGGCCATTGGCAACTTTGAAGCGGGGAGGGTAGTATTTTTTAAGTCTGTTCTGACTTCTGCGGGCAAAATAACGCCGACTGTTTGATAGCGCAGACTTCTGCACTATCAAAACTCACTACAGCGCAAGCGTGCAGCGTGAAGTCGGAGAGCCCCTTCTGATATACAGATTACGGTTTAATGATCAAAACTCCAATTAAAACGAAGCTTATTTATGTCTTGCAAAGCCCTAACCCCGACAAAGTCCTTCGCTTCCTTCATGGGGGTTCACACAAATTCATTGAACGTGCTGAGAATCCCTAAAACAAGCCAGTGCCTTTCATGAGGCTGTTTCTTGGACGTTGTCTATTTCGCCTAGCTAGTAGGTTGATCGGGAAGAACCAAAGAGAAGCAAGCGGCGACCCGTCCCCAATGATGACTTTCAAAGCCGGAGAACGCCGAGGCGCAGGCGCGAAGGCAGCGTTTTCCCGCAAATCTTTTTCTCTCGCAGGGCTGAAACGCGGTAGCTCCGCCCACCGGCAGCCGACGAGTTTGTACTCGAGCAACCTTCGCAGAAGGGGAAAAGCTGAGCGTGCTAGAATGTTCTTGCGTTCCCTTCTTCCTCCTCCCGCCCCCGCTTCTCTTGTGACGTAAGACAATGCCCCACCTCTTCCGCACCGGCAGTTCTGCTGCACAGTTGTGCGTGGTCTCGCGCGTGTCTGCCCGGACGAAACGCGGCTGGAGCGTTCCGCGTCTGCCGGGGCAGCCACGCTTCTCGCCTTCGGGACCAGCGCGTGCTCCCGGGGACCAAGCCTTTGGCCGCCGCCTCTGCCTTTCGCCCCGGGACTGGCTCCTCCCGTCCGCTCCCTCCCCCTCTAAAACATACCCTACTTCCTCCCGCGGGAGG